AACTCATATAATCTATCGGTATTGCAGAACACTTGTGATTAACAAGTTCTCATGAAAGAAAGTTATAAAAAAAACATATTTTGCAAGAAGTAAATAAAGTGAAAATAAGTCGCAAGTTTCAACGTTTAGGAGCTAAATTGATGATATTAGGCAAACATATAATAGAGACTCTGTAATAAGAATCGCGATACTTTTTTACATATCACATATAATCGATTGCATATCTTGATTGTGTGTGTGTGAAAATTACAAAATTGGTAAATTTATTAGATAAATTTATTATAGGTACTAATCAAATTATAAATATTCCAATAAACTTATTCACTTTTGTAATTTTAACTTTGTTTGTGTGAAGATAACACGATAAAATGTTTAAATATTTAAAATAATTTTATAAGAAAAAAAAATATTATAAACTAAACAATTCTTCTCATATGTATTGTTTCGACACGTAATATAAAGAAATTTATTTGTTAATATCTTTAAAATATCTAATTTTAATTATATTTTTGAAATTTAAAAGTAACATGAATATAGATGTACAAATATAGGACGGGAGTTCCTGAAACATGATCAAATCAATCAACGCATGACTTTCTGATGTTGTGACTTTTATTAGAAAGTTTCTGTCTCCAACATATAATAAGAACTCTCATATCAAATAAATATATAACACCGCTGGATAAGATCATTTGGATCAATAAGCATGCAGCATTAAGTTGCCATATTGATTTAAATCCTATGCATAATGAAAAAATATTAGGAACAAGAATTATTATTAAATATTGAAGAAATGAAAAAATTAGGAATAGAGACAGAATATCTTATTTTTTATTTATATTATTATATTTAGAATCTCTACTTCTACATTTAATTTTATTTCATTAATATTTATTTATATTAAGGAGCAGGAGATATGATATGACATGATACATGTAATTGCATTAATACAATGCAATTATAAATCTTTGTAGCTTCATAAAAATAAGTACACAAGTCTCATTACAAAATAATATTGTTTCTATGAGAAAAATAAAATCGAAACCCATT